GGATTTTAAGTAGCAATATAGCCATGCATACAACTCAAGGTGTGTTGTCAGCTTGAAATGCTCCTTAGGGAACAGCTTGGGCAGCCATAGGTCCCAGTCTTCAGTGTCTTCTGTTCTGGCATAACTGCTGCCTATCCCAGATGTGTTCTCACATGCTCAGACCTTCTGGTTCTTAATGTGCTTCTATCAGGAAAGCAAATCTGGTCTCTGTTGCCAAGATGCCCCTGGGGACTAGGAACTGACTTGCTGTCAGTGACACATGAAGAAAGCCAGGGGTGGCATGTCTGTTACAGAAGTTTCCTAAGTTTGTGCCAGCTCTGAGGAGAAGTTTCAGTAATGCTTTCTAGCAGGAAAGCTTTGTGCCAGGCAAAGCAGTTTTCACTCCTAGAGCAGTTCCATGAGACTGAAGGTAGTGAGTTACCTTCTGATACCTGCCTTAAGGTTGAGCATAGGCTCAGCTGCCTGTGAGGGAGGTGCACATGTCAAACCCTCGAGTAAGCAAAGCTTCAGAAGCCAAATGGGCACATGGGAGTGGTTATAGCCTCATCTGCTGAGCGCCTGCTGGCTCAGTGAAACCTACAGTGTGCCAATACCTTCAGCCAGCAGTTTGTGCTGTTGGGGTGGAGTTTTTGAAGGTGTTTATATAGGTGTAGTTTCTTGCAAAATTTCCTTATGATGCCCCTAAAATCTGATGTTTCCTTATCTTTGACAGAGAAAAATCTCTGATTTACTGATACAGTAACTAACCTAGTGCATTTAAGGGGAAGGTATTATGAGCCTTTGTTTTCTGTTTAAAGTTTGACATCAGGGTAGGATGATCTGAAGTCCAAGGTGAGGAGGAAGATAGTGCAGATACTACAAGGCCTGCCAATCTGGTTCTTACTGTTCAGAAAAAACAAAATAACTAGACTAAAAGCTTACTGGTAATTAGTAGCTAATGTGTTTGTAACTATCATGTGCCTTAAAATTTTCATGGTAGGAGAATTTAAAAAAATCAACAATGTGTTTTCTGTAATAACTGCTCAACATTCTCTCTGTAGATTAGACTGGTGGGATTTTGCATTGTATTTACACTGTACTATAAACTGAAACACTTAGAATGGTTTGATTTTACAAGTATGGAGAGGAAAAAAGGGTGAATTATGCTTTTCATAGAACAAATATTACCGTGACAGAATGTATTATTACTATGATAGGATCTTTCCATAATGCAGACAAGTAGAATGCTTGTTAGAAACCAGGTATGTAGGATAACAGTTTGGTGTGTTTTCAATAAACCATGCCTGGAAAGAATACATGTGCCATTGGTTATCTTTTTGTTTCATCAGGTATCTCAAATACTCTTTGGCTTTTGCAGCAGCAGTTTTCTGTGGCAGGGGATTACTCAACCCTAGTTCAGGTCAATGCTCTGTGTTAGTAAAAGGTCAGTGGTAATGAGAGGCAATTGAAATATCCTATAAATGAGTAAAGCTTCGTTTTTGACTCATTGCCATATGCTGGAGGTCTGGCACAACCCTGGACTGTAGATCGTGGGGTTTTTTTCTTTTTTTACTATACAAGCATATTTCTGTGGGAAAGACATCTGCATCACTGTTCAAGGGCCAGCATGTCTGTGAGCACAGAACTTGCTGATAGCTTTTCCATTTGGAAAGTTACTAACCTTTCTAAATTAAGTCATAAAATCTATGAAACTTTACAAAGATTCCACATTTTTGAAACGTGTAAGAAAACTAAATTGTAGCAGTGTATGAGGTTTGGTTGACATGAGAAATTGTTGCTTTGAGGATGTGCCAAATAATTTACATTGGGTACTGTGGAATGGAAGAAAATCCTGATAATGAAGAGTCACCCATGTATTGAAGTTAACAGCCAGTTACCAACAGATGCTGATTCTCTTGAGGACTGCCTCATCTGTGTTTGTGAGATCAGTGACTGGCACACCTAAACACACCATATTCACCACCATGTCTTCGTGAAGCCTGACAAAACTTGATAAATCTCCACAGAATGTTCTGTGAGGTCTTAGAGAATGGAGGTCAGGTTTTCTGAGTGAAAGGTTGATGAATCATTGCCAGTAACAGAGTTTGCCATATGAGAATTCCTGACTGTACCATTCACAGCACAGTATGGTTTCACTTACAGGCAAATGTTTGCCAACAGAGCTGGGAAGGTCATCTCCAGCTTACCTTCCCTCCTTATTTCAGATGTTCTAAATGCATCCCCAGGTGTTTTGTAAAATCATCTCTGGATCTGTTACAGCTGGAGGATACAGTTTCACAAGTGCTGTGATAAGATGTGGGCTTCTGGACTTAGCATCCTGCAGCTTGGTGTCATCATTCTTCCACCGCAGTGAGGAATCTTATTTTCCCTTTGTGGGTGCACTAATATAGCAATGAACAGCAGATGCTGTAGGTAAGGTACTGAGCTAAAACAAATATTTTGTTTTTACAACTGACATTTTATAGCTGTCAAAATGACTTCATTTCCAGCTTATCACAGGTTGGGCAAACAGAAGTGGTAAGTCCTGCAGGTGAAAGGTTAATCTGGTAACAGTGGGCAAGAAATACCAGCCCTCATCTGTTTCAGGTTTCAGCAGTGTCTTGGGGTAATATTCTGTCCTCAAGGGTCTCTTTCCCAGTGTTTTTCTTTGAAGGTCTCTAAGCACAGCAGTGGTAAGGTCTTGTTGTGGTGCAAGCTGATGGGGGATCTTTTGAAACAGGAAGATGCTTTATAATGTCATTAACTGAGCTGTAGAGACAGAGGCAAAGACTGAAACTCTGGTACTCAGTTCATCTTGTGTGTGCACAGCAATCATAGCTGTTATTTGTAAGGTACCTTATAACTGATTCCTGATTGACTGCTCAGCCAGGCAAGGACACATCACTGCCCTGCTGGTGTCACCTTGGATGGGAGAGTTGGGATCTCAGTGGTCTCTCTCTTCTTGTTGCTCTTGTAGGGGTTTCTGTATGTTCCCTTCACTGCATTTAGTGTTTGACTCATTGCTCAGAATTCTCCAGTGGGCTGCTTTTCACTTCCTCATGCCAGTGGGAGGAGGCAGTGGCTCCTGTACCCTGCTCTGTAGTCAGACAAGTAAATTCTGATGGAAGGATCGCTTCCATGGGTGCTGTTAGGCAAAAGTCAGTAGTGCTAGGTTTAATTATATCTTAAATCCTCTTTCTTGTACACAAATTGGTTCAATATTTTGAAAGGTGGTATCGTGTCCCTTTGAGGTAACAAAGAGGCTCTGGCAGAAACCAGACCTCACTCATGTACTGCCTGAATCACTAAGACAGCCTGGACAGTAACTGTAATCTGGAGAATAGGTGTAAATTACCAGTATTTGGTGATATTACATCTTTCAGACGTGAGCTGTGAGAATTTGCAGAGATCCATGTATGTTGTTTTAGGGAAGTTCTCCCCTTGTGAGCTTTTTATCAGTGGTGCACTCTCATGGGCACTCCTTACACACATGCACCATTCCATACAGTTTGTGCAAGCATAGGTTGTGTCTTCTAACTGTACTAAGCTGATGTTGCAGTAACACTCAGCAGGTTTTTAAAATATGTTTGAATTAGAAGATCCACTGTCTGCCTTTTTCTTCTCCCAGAATTCAAAGTGTGACTTTATTTTGAAAAGTGCCTCCTTTCCCTGGGAGATTTCACATTTATGTGTCAGTGACTCCAGATCATATTTGCTCAACTGACCAAAAGCCTTTTTTCTAATTGTCAGTCATGCAAACTGAGTCAGGCTTTTTTCTTTTCATCCCTTGCCACCAATAATTAAGAACATTTTAAAAATGTAGTGAAGTGGAAAAATTATTCTTACATATGGAATTCTGCAGATATTCTGTTAGAACATACATTGTGTTTATTTTTACAATTCGCCATGTAGGAGATGCTTTCTAATGAATTAAAATACCTTTTTATACTAAAAGGTGGCTGTTACATTTGCCATATGTATTACAAATACATTATTCACTACTTCATCTTTTGAAATATCCACTCAACAGGTTCCCACCTTTCCTAATCTTCTTGACAGTCTCTTGAACAGTAATTTTGGCCATTATTCTGATCCTCTCTTGGAAAGTGCAGAAGACTCTACCTGTTTACTCTTACTCATCCTTCTGAGACTGGTTTGCTCATCAGCCTGTGGGATGTGCCCTGCTGTGACAGGAGTGTCTGTTGGGTGCAAAGGTGCTTAGGGCTAAACACAAGTGAGGATTCTTTGGAGTCAAGGCTTTAGATGTACAGACAAATTTTCTGGTCCACCATAGGTATCCAGATTTTCCAGTTTTCCCTAGAAACTTGTATATGCCAGTAAATGTACTTGAAGATTATTTTGCATTGCAAATTTTGCAAAAATTGTTTCCAGCCACCTGAAGGACTTTGGTCCAATGACTTGCAGTTGTGCTGAATACCAAGAGGACGTGATGCTGAGTGATGTTACAGAACTAATCACTGACAGTACAAGATGGAGCTGTTAGAACTCAGTGGTGGCTCTGCACAGAACAGCACAACACAATCACCTGAGGCTGTTTCTGCATAATCTAACCCAGTTCAGGAACTCTTGTGTCTTTCATTATATATGACAGAGTTACCTTGTCAGGAAAACTCTGATAGTGTTGCCTTCTCCTGGCCCTGTGAAATGCACAACTGGCTGGGTCACCGTGGCTTGCTTGGTCCATTTCTAAGCTGACTCTGTCACCTTAGCCTGTTCTAGTTTTCTTTTGGTGATCCTCTGTTCCTTGCTAGTGTCCTGGAGGTGGATTTTCTGCAGCACACAGGCCACTGTGTGCAGGGACCACTGCAGTAAGGTGGGCTATACAAGGAAGAAACTCCTAACAGGCTTGAAAGAATTCATACTGGGAAAGACAAGAATGGTTGTCCTTGATTTTCACTCTGATATTCAACTGTTGGAACTTTCTGTGTCTGTTTCACATCTGGAAGCCTCACGTGCAGTACAGAATTCATTGGAAAAATGAAAGTCATGCCCCTGCTCTGTTGTTACTTTTTATTTAGAAATGTAACTGTTGCTACCTTATATAATCACAGCAGGACATGCTAGGAAATGCCACGGGATTTCTGCATTGTTCAGGTGAGTTAGAGACTTCCTATTTGGCTTTGAATCTTCTCAATGACAACCCACACTATTCACATGGTGTAACAGCACTGGGGTTAACCAGGACATGCAGGACCCACCTGCTAAAACCCATTCTCTCTGGACTTTATTTCTGTACAGCATCTTAAACATAGCCAGCATTTCAGAGTAGGCAGCTTGCCCTGCCCCTAAAAGCACGTACTATGTATGTAAGTATAATGAGGGGAAAAACAGCATTTCATCAAGGTCAAATATTATGTAGTTTTGTATTCTTTTGGAAAGAGTCTGCTCCTTTTGTTACCTGTTACTGTATTTCTTTTAATCTGTTTACTACTTCAATTTTCCCTGCCTCTGCATGGGCAGATTAATAATTTTATTTGTTTGTGTTTTCGAAATTCTGTTTTGTTGTTCTCATCACTGCATGGGTCTGCCTTCTTCCAGTGTGTGCTCTTTTCTCTCACATAGAGATGATTAACTTTTGCAGTAAATGTGCAAAGAAGTATCTGATCTCACAATAGGAGCCTTCACTGCATCAAGATGCATGCTAGTAATTTAGCAAAAATAGGGCACATGAAATGGTCTTTTCTTGCAACATGGATTTTTTTTCCACTCTTGCTAATGATTAATGAGTTTAGCTTGGGGACACAAGTCTTCAGAAGTTGCAGCGTATTTCTCCACCCTAAACCCGAACTGTGGTTAGTCAAGTTGAGTTCAAAATGCCAGACTGTTTTTTGATGATGTACTGGTCAAGGCAAGGCAATCTGCATCACCTTGGGTTTGCCAAATTAATGTGGTACCATGGCACAGACCAAACTCACTCCATATTTTGGTTTCTACCTTGCCTAAAAAGATCCCTAATGCTTGTTTAATTACACGTTCCAAAATAAAAAAATAATAGTAATTAAAAAAACGGTAAAGCATAGACAAGTTAACCTGTGCAGTTGCATTTACATAATTTGAAACAAAAGTCGATTATTAATGACTCTTTATCCCAAAAACACAGCCTTCTCCATGGCATCTTCCACTTGCATATATTCCAGATGAGATGGGTAGTTAGTGCATTGGAAATGGGGGCTCTTGCGGACATAGTTAAGGAAATCTGGAGCTCCTGGGAAAATGATATTGTCAGCCAGAAGAACTGAGCCCTTCCTCAGCAAGTTGCACTCCTAGAAAGAAGAGAAATGGCTTCATAGTGGCTGTTAAGGAGACATTGGTTTGAATGTAGAGTACTTTCATGTTAACCAGGTATACTCGTGTGCCTGCATCCCAAAACCCATTGTGGTACAGGTCTGGAAGGTCAGAGAGACAGGGGAGAGGCTGAGTAATTCTCGGATCCTTTGTGGTCATTTGCTAAGTTTTTCTGTTTAAGTACAACATTAGAGGAGCTGATTCTGAAATAGGAAATCAAGTGGAAGTGTGTACTTTGCTCCTCAGCTTCTTTCCAGCTATGTCTGTATGATCAGTAAGGTGGCTTTGTTTTGGCTGTCATGCTTCATGTTTAAAAATTTTTTTAATATGGCATTAAACTGTAGTGGTAGCTCTTTAGGTCACCTGCTTTGGCCAGTCTCAGTCAGACTCCAAAACTGCTAAAAGAATGAAAGATTTTCTGTGCTTGTTTTCCTTTCATCTTGAACAACTTCCTGCCATTTTGTTTGGGATCTGGGCATGAAGTGAGGTTTTCCCACAATGAAGATCCCTCTGACAAATTTCCACAAGACATAACTAACTAGAAATAGTTGCTTCAAGTGCAATGTTTATCCTCAGTAAACCTGAAAACCTAATTTTTACTGGTATTTTTTGTCTAGAAGAAGTTGCTTATCTGGGCTTACCAGCTGTTTTAAAACAAAGTCTGTAGCTAAATCAGCTTGTTGTTATCCTGTGGTTACAGGCAGTAGCTGTAGCCAAACATGGGGTGGTTTTGGTCACTCCAAGTCTGTGAGAGCAGTTCTGTTGATGAGTGTCCTGCAGAAGCCATTGTGCTTATTGCTCTTGCCTCTGGGGACTGAACACCAGTCAGCACAGCAGAAGTGATTTTAAAGACAGGTCAAATACCCTCCAGTCTGTTTCTATTGCACAGCTTACAGAAGCTTAAAAGAGACAACATACTGGATTTTCCACTGGTCATCAGGATTTCAGATGCTCTTCATGTCTGGCTTTTTTGTCTGGACCACATCCAATATATACATATTTAATCTGAATAAATTCATACTTCATATTCACCATTCATACTGCAATACCTGCTGAGAATACATTTTAGAAAGTTTTTGACATCTGAGAAAATCTGAGGATCTTTTCTTTGTCTTTTGCCTCCTGATTTCATGGGAGTTTTTTTGCAACTTTGTGTCACAGTTGCATCAGACTGCTGCCATGGAACTAAACCGTGTGTTTGTTTTGGCTGTATTGGGAGGTTAAGTTCTGATAAGGATGCACTGTGGAAAGAGCTCAGTCATCCTTACACAGGCAGTTTAAAAGAAAGCATTCTCTGAGTACAAAATAACTGTACGGAGGGAACATTTTCTTCAGCTACTGCTGTGTAAATTCAATACTAGCTGTTCATAACCCCAAACAAATTTCCTTTTCAAACAGCTTTCTGGAGGCCAAGGCTTAAAACCAAAAATACAGGGAGGCTGGGTTAGAAAATAGTGTTGTAGTCCTCAGGCAGGGGTCAGGAAGTATTTGGCAGGTTCTCAATCTGAGGCAGGCTCAAAAAAAGTAGATTTATTTGTGAAGAAAATAATTGAAAAATGGCACTTCCATAAAAGTAGGCAGTAGAAAATTGTAGAAAATTCTGTCAGCTAGGAGAATGTATGTGCTGTGTTGATAGGCACAGATATTGTCAATCTCAGTTATTTAACACCTGAAAACACCTTTCTATCCAGAAGTCCTTTGCCACTGCCTACTGCTGTTACAGCCAATTTATTTTGCAATACCCACAGCAATGGTTAAGGCAGCTTGGGAAAAAATAAGCATAATTTTTACACATTTGGGGCTGGACATAGAGTTAGACAGCATTTCCCTAGGAAATTCGTGGCTGGGCCAGTCTGCACTCTTTTTAACATTGCTTTGCAACCAATTAATTAGGTGGAGTGTAAGGACTCCAAGACAAGTCATACTCCATGCTACCATGGCCATGCTACCAAAATGGCTCTGCTGCCACCATAGACCCAGGCAAAAAAAAAGGGGTACTGAGGAAATTAGAGAGGTGGAGCTGGGATATGCAGGTCCCAAGTCTCACCTGCTCCCAGGAGCAGGATGGGCTTTGGGTCAAATGTTCTGGCTGGAGACCATGCACACACTCCTGGGAGTGTAAGACTCAGGCCTACTCCTCCAGGTAGGATTTCCACTGCACACCTGTATGTTCAGGAAACAGAATGGCTCAGCAGTACTCACTGAGTCCTGAGCTATGTAGTGTTGGCACTTGTCCTTAACAAAAGTTTAGGGACAGTCCTTCAAATTCTCTTTTCTTACTGTAAGGCTGCTGTTTTGGCTGCCAGACTTCATTTTACATCACATGAGGTCACTCATAAACAGAGGCCTCCCAGACATTAAGATATTTGCTGCTTTACTTTTAAGACTGGAATTGTGCAAACTGACCTGAAGCAGGATGGTGTCTGGTGTGTATCTGTCTTTCCAGTGGTCCAGGAAGACAAAATCCAGAGTATCCACTTCATATTTTTTTTTCAGCTGGGGAATAATTTCCTCTGAAGGGCCTTCTAGGAGTTTTACCTGAAATACAAATCCATGTGATGAATTGCAAACCATTTAGAAAAGTCACATGCGCAGAGCTCATTCTGAATTGTAGGCAGACATCAGGGATCATGTTTATAGCTCAATATTGTGTCAGTTGAATTGTTTGGTAGGGTTAGGTCAAATGTACCTTTTTCTTTTTGACAAACCAACTCAGTTAAATTTCAAAATACGAATTTCAGTGGTTTGGATTTTGTTGGTTTTTAAATTAACAACAGAAAAAGTGACCTGTTTTTTTTTTGTTGTATAATGTGTGTCTTTACTGGAAACATGGAAATCTCCTGTTGAAAACAGTGATTTTAATTACTTTTTTTTTTTTTAGTTACATCTCAGTTGAGTCTTGTAGTCCAAGGGAAGCAAAAAATGCAGAGAACAGGTTAGGTTAGAAAAAAGATGGAGGCTACAGTATGTAAAATTTATGTGGCCAGGAGAGGGAACAGACAGGACAGAGGCTGTTACATTTTCCTCAGAGGTTTATTGGAGTAACTACTGTTAAACTGAAAGCAGCTGCTGCATGTGAATTTTTGTTAGGCAAGCACCATATAGAGGAGGAAGAAAGTGGTAAGGAAATGTCTGTTTTATGACTCATAGCTGATCAGGAGATTAAGTCAGATGGGGAAATGCAGTTTTAGATGTCACTGGTACTTCAAGTTCTCTTCTAGAAGTTAACAAACACATTAGAAGGTCCCTTGGTGGACTTATTTCCTCCAGTGTTTCCAGCTCCATTAAAGTGAGATGTCTGCTGAAAAGAAGGCACTTCTCAGGTACAAATCCCCCAATCTGGGGGGGATATAGACTGGAAACACCTGCATCTCAACCAGCTATAGGGAGTCAAGACACTTCTGATTGCACCAGACTTAGGTATGGGTACTGTGACCAGCTAGATTTGGGTAAATACTTCTCATTTGAAGTCCACTGCACATAATACAACTGATTCCTGTGAGCTTTTGTAACAAATTGGACTATGGTTGTTTTGTAGTTAGTCTTGACACCAAATTGAACCTTTTAGTTTATATTGAGAAACCCAGTATTCTTCTGGCTTTTGTAAGGCAACGTAGTGAAGTCCTGCTGTGAGAGGTCAGGCACTATAACTAAGCATGGAGCTGGTTAAATTTATAAAGGCCCATGGGTACAAGAAAAAACAAAACAAAACAAAATCTAACCAGTTTTGCTGTAGTGGTTACAGGCAAAATGGTATTTACCTTATCTTGTACTCCAGCAAACTCAATCATCTGTTTAGCTATAGCAGCAAATTTTGGGTTGAACTCCACAGTGAGCAGACGAGCTCCTGCCTTCAGCAGCCGAGAAATCCTCACTGCTGAGTAGCCACAGTACGTTCCCAGCTCCAGGGCAACTGATGGATTGGCCTCTTCCACTGTCTTGTCCAGGATTTTACCTGATTAAAATGGGAAAAGATTACCTATTGACAAATCAAGCTGGTTCATATACACAAGAGCAAGTTAGTGACAAGAAATTTTAAAAATCCATGTACTCAGTTGCTCAAGACATTAAAAAATTAAGAGTTGATGTCAAATTATATTCTGTATCCTTTGCAAACTGGCTTGTGATCAAGTTAATCATGGATGTTTTACGTTTCTAAGTGCAAACTTTCATCTAAAAGAAATCTCAGTTTCACAATATACACATTTCTGAATAAGGAATTCCCTGAATTAACTTATATTCCCTGAATATAACTTATGTAATTCCCTGAATCAACTAATTTATAGTGTTAGAAAGGGGAAATGCAGTCATTTTTTCCAAGAATTTACTGCAGAAACTGGCCATATTCGTGAAATATATAACTCCTGGATTTTGAGTGCTCATGTTTGTTGCTAATGTTACGTGCTGTAGTCTGATACAAAATTTCTTATTCCAAATACTCATCTTTAAAGGAAAAAAGAAAAGTGTACTTACAAAGATGCAAAATATTTGGTTTCACTGCATGAATTTGTGGGGTGGAAAATATTGGTCAATTGTTAACAACAGAAAATGTTCCCAAAAAGAAGTGACAGTGACTATATTCAGTCCTTTTGAAGGAAAGGATTTATTTGTGAGAAATTTCCTCTTATTTGTATGGCTAGAAACTTGATAACTAAACTCAAAAAGTAGTGGAAGTTTAAGTATTCCTACTCAGCCATGACCCACAGTTCTGCTCCCCTAAGCACCCCAGCCAGGTATGCTGAGGAGCTACTTTAAAAAACTGTAACATGTCAGAAGAGCATTTTTATTACAATGCTTACAGTTGTTTTTCATTAGCTATGTTAATCCCAGACTACGCAAATTTCCCCAGAAATTTCCCAGCAAGAGGTACTTTTGTTTCTAATTCATAAGGGAACATATTAACATTTTGCCTCTATAGTTTTTTGAAAAGATTGCTGCTTTCCTGCAGCTATGAAAAAAAGAGTTTGTTCCCATATTTTTCTTTAGGAGACAAGAACAAGATGATTTACTTGCTAAACAGCAACAATGTCTGATATTGTATGACATGGACAGGATTTCTACCTTCTACAGAAACTTCTAATTTATGCTTGCATACACACAATTCATATAGTTAAACACAATTTTAGGGTTTTTTCAATTTGCTATCTTGTTAAGGATCTGAAAGTATTTAACATAATGAATTATGCCTTGAAGGCACCCTATGTAAAAAGTGAGGTATAATGCAACCCATAAGTTGCCACTCTCTGCTTACACACTTGCAGTGTGCACAACACAGAAACCCTCATCTGGTGCTGTGACTTTCTGGATGAGTCACTGGCTACCCCTCCTCAAAAACTTCTGCACAAGCAGGCACAACTGTTCACAGAGCTACTCTGCTGACCACAAAGCTCTGTGGGTTGGGGTTTTTGCAGCAGCAGATGGAAGTTGCCATGTGAATACAATCAGATGTTCTGTACTGTCCTGTACTTGAAGGATCTTTTCAGATGCTGACCCCTGCTGCAGTTACCTTTCTCATCGCCCACGTTCATGGCCCACTCCTTCTGGGAGCAGTATTTGTCTATAGTGTCCAGCACACTACTGGGGTCTCCTCTGACTGCATTCTGCAGCACAAAATTTAAAATCCTCTGCTCTTTGCTCTGACTCATGATGAAATTGGTTACTTTCTCCCGGATTATTTCATTCCAGACAAGGGCAGCAGTGGCATTTTTCCTGATGAGCAACACAATGAGCAGCAAAATGAAAACTAGGATGAAGACAATGAACAAAGGGACTGAAGAGCTCTCCAGCATCTGGAAGAAAAGAGGAAAACAACCGAGGGTTAAGGTGGCACAGGAGAGGGCTGTCCTTTTGTAAATATTGAGCCAAATAACCCACAACCAACAGTGCTGAACAGGAACACACAGAGTTTAATTATGATTGTGTCTAAAGTAGCTGCAAAAGGCTCTCTGTCACTTGGTAATGGATGGTGCTCTGTAGCACTTCCTTTAGAAGCCAATTCTACAGGCAGTCAACAAGTAGCTTTATTTAATGCTCTGGTCCCTTCCCCCACACAGCTGCTCAGTCCTGGCTCCAAGCATGCCACTGCACGAGGAGCTTCCAGCTCCAACAGGAGCTACAACATCCTCAAACATTTTGCCTAAATTAACCAAGACCAATGACAAAGGGATTATCTCGTTCTAGGAGATAACAACATTCCTCCAAATCTCTTCCTACTTGTTCTTGCTTCTCTTTTTTGCTTCCCCAAATATTGTTCCAGAAAAATCCTATTTTTTATGGATGGTCTGACCTCCATTCTGTAGTGGGATTTGGCATATACACATGGGGAAAATCTATCCCACTACTTAAATTTTGAATCATCATGCAGAGCACATTTGGACTTCAGAAGATGACTGAGTTTCCATGGAGATATGCTCAAGATACAGTACAGCTGATTTTGTTCAGTCATTCTCTTATCTTGGTTGCAGAGCAAGTATGATTTGTTTGGAGCTGTTAAAAGTCTATTTCTTTTTCTTTCAAGCAGTCACCAATGTTAACAGTTACCCTTAATGATTTTCTTGCAAAGTCTGACCTGAGACCTTTCCTTTCAGAGCCTGCCAGTGTCATTAGCACATTAATATCTTGCTTCTTGGACCTTCTGAATATTTTTTTCCTAGCTAATATGAGACTGCTTCATTACTTCAACAGGATCATGAAGGCCTGGATGTCAATTTTTCTTCTTTCCCTCTGTGCAGAAGTAGTGGCACTGACCACGCCCAATTGTCCTGCACCTTTCAGATGGGACTTCAGTTCTTTTTAGTTTTCTACACGAAAATGTTTGACATTATCTCTCCACTAAAAACTTCAATAGAGCTGTGGGAAGATCATTAGTTTAACATTAAATATCTCTCTAGCTTCACTTGACTCATGTTTCTTGACTTTTCATGGCTTAGTTGATTGTATGGTTGTTGTTGATGGATTTGGATTACTGACACAGGTGAGAGATAATTATTCTGAACTGCAATGAATGGATGGAGCCCAGAAAACACTTCCTAAGGCCAGCAGATCTCTAACTTTCCTGCCTCTGGACACGTGAAGCTGGGACCCTGCAAACCTGTGACTCGCTTGGTGGCAGTCCAGCCACAGTCAGGTCCCTGCAGCACTGAAGAGGGCTGGCATTCAGAATTACTGCAGACCACTGCCAGACATAATTCTCTGTTACAATGGATACTTTGGCATTCTCTGAGCAGACCTTGCCACAGGCTGTTGCTTCAGCACTATGAGATCCTGCCAGCATGTTTGGGGCTGCCCTTCAAAGATCTGTCAGACAGCAAGAGTGGATGGGAGCAGCAGCATGAACTAGGTAGTGTATTTTTGGGGGACAGCTTTCCTCCCTTGTTGCTTAGCATTGATATGAGACCATTTAATGAGATTTCTCTAAACAGGGAGACAGCCTCTGTAGGCTAACTCAGCCCTGCTCCCTGTCCTGCAGGAATGCTGAGACTTCTTTTCCAGACTGACTGAATCCAGTACTCAGAGGGATCCACTTTTTACAATGCCTCAGATCTTTGCACTTGAATCCCACATGAATGGTACCACACGTAAGAGCAGAGCCCACCTGCCTCCCCAGAGGCTGGCCACAGGTAGAAACAACCTACAGAGTACATGCTGATTTTTTCATTCCTAGATGAGTTCACTTATTTTTGACATATCAATGTTTTTCAGCTACTGGAATTTTTTTATTATTAATATTTCTGTATAACATCCCAGCACCTTCATAAACTGGCAGTATGGGTTGTTCTTAGCCGAACTCCTTCAGGAGGCAATTATTCTGAAAACCACTTTCCAGAGAAGTATCTTTTAAAAAGAGAGAAGAGGACACTTTTGGTTTTCTTTTTTTTTTAAACACAGTATTTTTCAAAGTTTGTCCTTCTTAATTTCTATCTTCTTAGGTGTGAAAATAAATTTAGTGACAGCAGTAGACTGTAAAGGCAGTCTGCCAAGAGCAAGAGGCATGGTGATGGTCATGCACCCAGAGGGAAAAAAGATCTGTACCAAAATAGGTAATTGCTTTCATATTCTTAGCTGGAAAATATTTGATATGAAAATTAAGTGTGTAATTCAACCAATTTAAAACTACCACTACCTAGGAGACAGTCATGTTATGACAGCTTTAGAAAATGCAACAGTAATTTTAGCTTTAATGTGGATTCATGAGCTTCATTAAGTATGCAATAAAACTTGCACACAGTCAAGTTTCCCACAACCACTTATTACAAGGCAGCTACTCTTATTATTTAAAGCTTATACTGAGGTTCCAAATACACAGGTTAGCACTGCAACCTCTTCTGTGCTTTAGAAACACCATAATAAAGGGAGCCTTCTCTTTGAAAGCTAGAATATGAAGTGGAAAATAGCAGGCAAATGAAAAATTCAGCAAGGGAATAAACAGAAAATTGGAGGGACAACATTATGGGAAGGAATGAATAACACGTATCAGTACATCTGGTTTTGAGAAGACAGAGTTTAAAAGAAAACATATTAAAATTTCATGCCCAAACCTGTCAAACTACTGATGGGTCTTTCTAAAGCACTGAGTTATTTTCTTATGCATCTAATCTTACTCATTTTGGCATGTTTCATAAGACCAAATCATAACTTGATAATGCAGCTCAGCAGTTCTCCCCTGATGTACACCATAATCAAACAATCAGCATTTGAATGGGAGTACTTCTGTTTCAGTTTACAGAGATTTAAAAAGACATTTTCCAAGAGAGAAGCAGACACAAAATGTGGGAATCTGCTGCCCCAACTTACCTGCCTGTGGAGATGAAACACCTAAGTCATTCCAATGGGTTTAAAAGAAACCATGAAAACTGGCTCAGACTTAGGGATCTGCTATTTTGCCAACAGATGTCAAGTTAGGGGATTCAGTATCCCCTTACTATAATATGATAGTAAGTTTTTCAGTTTTTCTAAATCATAAAATGCCCATGTGATGGAGCCCAAACCAATACATCCTGTTCTTTATTCTCATGCAGCTGACTCCAGCCATTTCACCAAAGGTTACAATAAGGATCTTTCAGTAATGCTATTTATCAATCCTTCTGGTACATTTTCCCAACCTCTGCTAAAAAATAATTGTTCCTAGAATTCCCTAACGTGAAAAAATAAGGATTAGAACAATTGGTAACATCAATTTTTAAGGTAAGTCCAAGTAACCAGACTGAACTGAGATATTTTTCAGTGTTTCATAAAAAATGTACAAAGTTTTCATAGCACTGTTAGAGGAAGGTGTACGGAAATGTGATGTAAACTACTGATTGCAACTGCTTCTCTGATTCCAAACCAACATCCCTTTGCTAGAAACTGATGTTTATTGAGAAGAAAAATAAGAATGTGAAAGTAAGCGCCTTTAAATTGTCTAAGTTTTAACAACAGCATATACCCTAGTGAGATTCACACTCAGTGGATTAAAGAAGTTTCAAATTTGACTATTTAACTATTCTGAAGCTTATATTTCACTACATTATGAGTAATTAACAAGATGTCATTTCCTACAGTTGCAAAAATAAGAGATGACAAATGTTGAAATACTTGTGAGGTGGAAAACTGCTGTATAGAACATTTTTCTACTCAAGGTGAATCCTACTAAGCCTAATTACAGAGCTTCTCATTACAGTTTTAGCTTGGATGAACTGATATTGCTTTGCTTTGTACTGAAAATTAAGTCCTAAACATTATCAGAAACCCCCCACCCTTTTGTACAAAGACAGCACATCCATTAGCCTACTATTCTCCAGGGCTGGAATGAGAGTAAACTTTGTGACCCTGAGCCAGGGGATTTAGCTGTGAGTCTCATTTTGGCAATGTTTTTTCAAATCTGGCCTTGATTAGCTGTTTTATCATCCTCTGTGTTGCCACAAGAGTTAAAGTTACTACTACTTGTGTAAACTTTCAAGGCATTGTAATGCTGAATAAATCTTTTTCAGAAAAGTCCCTGCTATGAATATATGGATAACACCTGAGGAAAGGCAAAATAGTTTTGTCTGCACAGCAAATGCCTATGTGACATTATTATTCTTGAGTTTATGAACAACTGGGAAAATGTGGAGACAAGCAGTGCTTCAAATGCTTTCCTGAAGGGCTTTCAGCCAGCTGACAACTCGGGCCTTTGAGGAAAGATGGTACATGCAGTCTTGCTATAATTTTTCATGCATTTAATCTAACTGCCAAGTACTGGTTGGTTGTTTAAGAGTTCATTACGAGTCTCCACGCATCCAGACAGTACTTTAGCATTCTGGTGCTAAAGGGTTTAGAATCTAATTTGGACTTTATTAACTCACATAACCTGGTGAATGGGGAGCACTTGATAAGTTTATATCATTCAACCTTTTTCAGCTTCTGCTGAAATTATGCCTTTAGACACTGATGCACTGACGTATGCAGAGGATTTGCACACTAGTAAGGATATATTAGCTGTTTATGAAGCATTGTGAAAACAATGCACAAGAGTCAGCACATTTCTACACATATTTTAACAATGTTTTGCACTAGGCCAGAGGAGATCTGTGCTGTGCTGGGACTGGAGTTTCTGACTCTTAGTCCTATGCTGTCTGGAATGAGGCAATCTCTCTTTTGTGGCCTTTTGTTTTTCTTGATGTTTTCCCAGAGAAAGAAAGGCAGAGTATTTTGGTCAGAAAGTCTAAACTAACTTCTGCCAAACATATTGTATCCTGTTGCTGTAGGCAACACAATTCAACAGCTTCGTAATTTAGTACATTTAAAGGTAAAAAAAAATCTTTTTACCTTCTATTCTTTCGTTACTGTTTATGTATTTTCAAGTGAGTGCAACTGTTCTGTGAAGAATAATCATCATATTGCCAAATGTGAATAGCTTGTATTTCAATGGAAACTAAGTCTGGGAGTCTGACATTCAGATTTTCCACTGACATCATGAAAACAATCTGAACAGACTTCATATAATTTTTCATTATTTCTTGCCTGAAATCTAGATCTTCCTCTCAGTTTTTTTCAAATTACTGTAATTTAGCTTCACTGCCATGACTACAAAAATTTCTGTCTTCTATAAATGCAAAGTTCTGATGATTGTTTTCTGCCCTCATGGCCTTTTGTCTTCCCTCTTCTCAGGTTGAAAGGAAACAAATACAAGTTACTTCTTACTGAATTAAAGGAAGAGAACAGAAAACTGCACATTGCCTACTTGGGAGCCCCATCAAATAAGCTTCATAAGGGTGTTTAAATCCATTCTCCCCACATAGATTTCAATTAGGATAATTGCTACCCACTGAAAACTCCCTTCCCAGTAGCCATTCTCTAGATGTATTCAGTGCTATTACCCAAAGCAGAAGGATTAAATAAAGCTTGTGTGCCCCATAAAGAAGTGCAGTGTTTTAAATGAACTGGCCACACAGAGAGGCCTCATCTCCATCCAACAAGCAGGTCCACAGGAATTTGGAGCATTCTAATCCAGACTGACCTAGTGAACACACTGAATGATTAAAGCCAGAGTTTGGGGTAAGAGAATTCTTCAAGGATAAGAAATGCACTTTACTGAGCCTTAAGCAAAGACAGCTTTTCAGGAATAAGACCCGTTCAGGTACCCCTAGGGAGGGTTTGTTTCTGATAGTCCTTATTCCTACTGGAGCACTCCAGATGTGTTTGTACTATTTGTACCAGGGTTTAAAAGCAGTGGTTCGGGTGGCTCAGCAGAACTGTACAAATCCTACCTGGGAGGCAGTGGAGTGACAAAAGCAGAAAGTGCTCTGCCCTGACAGCACACTAGGAGCTGCCCTGTGAAGAGTTTTCTAAGCTGAGATTTTTATGTTCCCCAGGGAGTAAAATCAAGCCGTTGTTGAATGATTTTGCCCCAAATGAAGGTAGGGAGAAGGGGTGGAAGAGGAAAGACCAAACTGCCTAACTCTTGTCAGGACAGACCTCTTTGACAGTCTCTTCCTTATATCACAGGGCTGAATCCTCAGTGTCCCAAATCCCCACTGCACGCTCCTGCCCTGCTTCCAAGGCTACCAGCTAATCTACTGTAAATCTGTCTCTCTCCCAGCACAGCTTTCTGCTGTCCACAGGCTGCTCTTCAGGCTGGGGGGAATGCACGACTGAAGCTTGGTAGTGAGGACACCTGCTGAGGGATCTGAAGGATTAGGAAGGAAATCTCTGCTGAAATGATGACTTATTTCTATGAAAATTAACAACTCTAACACGCCAGGCAAGGTGGGAGTCACCACAGCATAGCAGGTAATCAAACACTGTGTGGGAAGAGGGAGCCTGAGACAGAGCAGGGTAGGGATTGGCTTCAAATCCTGAGTGAAAGCTCCCCCCAGAAAAGTGCCTGGAGTGGGCATAGAGGGTCTCTGTCTAGAAATTGCTTTCTGAGAGAGCTTTAGAATGGCCTCACACATTAAGGTCTGTTTTCAAGGACTGCTGCCAAAATTATGGTTTTTTTAAAAATTCCCAGTCACTTTTAATTCCAGTGATCCTGAAGGAATGCTGAAAGACAACAGTATGAGACAGGCAGATGTAAACTGGGTACCAGACTGCTGAGAAACATTGCTAAACATGGGTGGTAAGTGAGTTGCTTGCAGTGTTAATGTGATCAAACTCTTTTCTCATTAATGCAAACTAAAGCTGTAAATCACGAAGTTTTTCTTTTGTATTTCAATGCTGCAAAACTGTGCAAATGCACGTGGTTCTGACCCTGAGGGCTTTGTTGGAGAAGCCCATGACTGAGTAAGCAGAAGTGCAGAGACAAAGTAAAGGTTGTTTATGGTTGTTTACAGAGTTTATCAGAATGACGTGGTTGACAGTATTGGTAAATAGGAGTTTGTTTGTAAAGGACAGAAAGTAAAAATATCCATTATGGGTATCAGAAGGATACTCTATAAGCACCAACAGGACAAGCAAAAGTACTCACTTTTTGTCCCTTCTTCAGAGATATTTTTGGAGTAGCAGAACTCCCTCTTGAGAATGAAAACCTCCATAAAATACATTTGCAGCAAAACACTTAGAAAAGCAGCTATTCAGCCAAATGATATGACTGAACTTGAATGTGAAGCTTGACTTGCATTCAGCTTTTACTTCGATATAAATGAATACCAAATTCCAGCATACTTATAGCCATAAATTAAATTTTCAATTTACTCAGGGTTATCTCATCTCACTTCTTTCAGCTGTCAAGATTTACAATACAGTACAAATGCACTACACACAAATATGTCCTACTCTTTCTCTGTGAAAGCTGTTGCTGCCCACAGACTGGCTTCCTGACAATGAGTGCCAGTCAGAATGTGGAAAACACCACTTCTTTCATGAGCACCACTGTTTAAAATAGTGACATTATCTAAGATAACACATCATGTCAAGCCTGACAAATAAGAAAATATAAATATATACCTTTCTTAGTACAGCAGAAGCTGTTCCCTCCGATCTTTTCCTGTGCTGCTCTCCTGTGGATTTTACAGAATAAGAGTCCAAGAGCCTGCAGTATTCAGTCACATTCGATCACATCACAGGCATAGCTTATCAGTTCTGTTACACATTCTCTAAAAGGAGCAGTGTCCTTTTCCCCAACTCCTCCTCTCACAGATTCTGCACTCCTTAAAGGTGCTCGGTGCTCTAATAACCGTAGAGAAAGCTATTCATCTGTCCCCTAACGACAGAGCTCTTGTTACTTAGTTACAGCACAGTGACTGCTGACAAAGTCAGGTGTGAGCCAAATCTGTGCTCGCTATAAATGCAATGTGTTCAATCAAGCAACTTCAGGAAGGAATTTGGCCCAAGGGATTTAGTTCTTTTTTCAGTTCAGACGTGGCATGCTACAGCCAGAGCAGAATTGGTAGGAACAGGACCTAGGCATGTGGGTTAAATATAGAGTGCTGCTGGAGGCAGGCGAGGTATGTATAGCAAATGGCTTAATAGCAGCTACAGGAGGAGCTGCAATCAATACATTATAAATAGCACATTTGAATCTCTGTGCCTTCTAGTTGGAAAAATATTCTTCTACAAACAGCCCTAAGATAAAAAAAGAGGCTTATTCTAGGAAACCTGGTTCCCCTCTTGTCTGTCTATACTATTTCCTTCGAGGTAGGAACAATATAATCCAGCTGCAATTAAATTGCACCATCGAAGAAAATCAGAAGAAAACCAAAAAAATCCCAAACACAATATGGCAACAGCTCTCTCCTGTATTCTCACTGCAAAACTCCAACCTAGTCAGCAAGTGTTTGAAGCTCAAGCCTAGAAACTTTTTAAAGACTTATAGAATGTGTTTGTACCAAATGTGGCAGAAACAGGAGCTGAAGTTCTGAGAACTTCAGGCTTTGTCAAGTGATAGGGGAGGTCCTTGAAAGAATTAGGGACCACCTGAGAGCATGACAAGAGAAAACCAAATAATTTTAACCACAGTAATTGAATAAAGAATTGTGGGGAAAAACAGGTGGGTGAAATTGAAATGTTTCTTGTAGCTTTAAACAAAACATAACTAAGACCCTGCAATACAGCACAGTCCCCAATGTCAATATAGAATAACTTTGAACTATCCCTTCCATGTACAAGAGAGCTTTAGCTCTGCAAATATTTTCTTATAATCCAGATATCAAGCACAACAAAGAATGAAGTAAGCAATACTGCAGTCCAGCTTCACTGACAGTAATTTCCTGTCTGGTCAAAAGCTGGTTGTGTCTGCATGATCCCTGATGCCTCCCACAATTCAAATTAGCAGAGAAATTTTTTTACTGCTGGGCTGTGGAAAAAAGAGTTTAAAACAGCAAAACTTACTCTAAGCACTAAGTATAGAGTTTTACCTTGTGTAAGTATACAGCAGCTCTTTGGAGAAGTCCTTGCAGTTAACTACAGCTAGTTGTGGGTGGTGTCAGCCCAGCTTCTGCTTAGCAGCATGATTTAGTGCCAATACTTCCCAGATTGAGCAACATCCCATGACAACACTTTTAAAAGTCTTCTAACTTGGAGCTGAGTTATATTCTTCAGGCTCGAAGCATGGGAGGAGCAAACTTGCTTCTGCCTGCCCACAGCTGTTTACTTGTGTGACAAAAGCTACGCCTGCAAGTAACCCTTGCTGTTGTCCACGTATTTCATTGCATAAGTAAAAATGGTATATGGCAATAACTGCAAGTTAGACAAGGCTAGAGGGTAAGTTGGTTAAGCCACCCAAACTGTGTGATAATGTCCATATATTGCTTCCAAGTTAACAGAAAGTTGAAACCTTGTAATATGTTGTGGGATATTTTCTTCCCCAAGAGAAGTTTCTTTGGCAGCCTGACAGACATTGGTTTATGCCTGTCTTTAATTTACCTGTTAGCCCAACACATGGTCTATATAAGTATGGATATTTTTGCAAGTTTTTTTACTAATGTACTAACAATGCTACAAACTACACAGTGCATAAATTTATATACTATCTATATGACCTATCCTTGTCTAGACAGTAAAAATCTGCCCTGATATTAATACACATGATTATTATCTGCCCTGATATTAATGCAGAGAGCTACAAATGTATTGGTTTAATACAATGTTTATGTAGGGCCAAGATCTTAAAAGACTTCAGAATATCTATGAGGTACTGGATTCACAGGGCACATCCATGGGAAGGTGTAGAACCAGGATGCATTAGCCTGGGAGCAACATCACATGAATGGCAGCAGCTGAGGATAAGTGGCAGGTTCAGGCTGACTCACCCTGACAGTCGCCACTTTGGCTCTGCTCTGGCTGCACAAACTTGAGCAGACTTGCTCATGGACAGAGCTCCCAGCTGCAGTCACACGGCGCAGCGTGCAGGGCCATTCCCACTTGCTGTGCATAGCACGGAGCCAGAGCTTTTCCCCTAAATCCATGCCTGGCACAACAACAAATGGCATTCCCTTCTTCTAATCATCCCGGACAAAGACTGGTTTTTAAAAGCTGCAACAAAGGGAGGCAGGAGAGCTAGCACATTATCATAAACCCCACAGATCATGTGAAACACTGAGTGGAAGAAAATTCTTTTGAGCTTGCATTTTCAGAATAGCAGGAGGGATTTTCTTTTATGGGAATTTGCTGTTTTCCACAGTCAAATTAGTCTGTCTTGCTGAGAAACATGCAAAAGAGGAATTTTGAAGAAAGGAAGCACCACTCATGCCTGAATCAGGAAACTGCCCAGCGATATCTAAAACGGGAAACAGCTAAAAGAGAAGAAAGGTGGCCAGCAAAGTCATACTCTAAATTTGAACAGATAATACAAGCAGTTAGACTATTTTGTGTTTACAGTGCCTCTTAAAAGGTTATGAGGAAGATTGAAAAAACGTTTCAGCTTTCAAAGATGTTTTAACTCGTCACAAAAACTCTGAAGCAGTTAAGTCTACCACATTTCTCTCTTTTCTACCCTCATGTTTTTTGGCAATATGTGCTGAAGCATTTGAATGAAGCCAAGAGCTTGTGTTCATCTGTTTCTGCTGTTTTTTTCTCTTACTTGCAATCAATCATTTGTTTCTACCCTCACGTTTTTTGGCAATATGTGCTGAAGCATTTGAATGAAGCCAAGAGCTTGTGTTACTTGAAGTTTCATCTGTTTCTGCTGGTTTTTTCTCTTACTTGCAATCAATCATTTCTTCAGGACAAACTATGAACAGAAGATCTATGTTAAGGAAGAAAGGAACTAATAAAAAGGCATAGATTAAATTCTGAACTAGTCCTACTCTGAGACAAATTTCTGAACATAATTCTTGAATAATCTTTAAAAGAGAGAGATGGTAAGAAACCAAAAGGTCCTACCTCATGCAGAGACAGCTTAGTTCAACCAGTGATCCAGCAGAGTTCACTGACACTTCTGTAAATTATTCATTAGGTCACACCACAAAATGCAACCTCTGAGAGAATGGATTTCCCACCCCACCCACTAAAAGGGACACAAAGTGATGACTTCCAAAGACAATATCTACCTGTCACCTCTCTTCTTCCCCCCACCCTCCCTGGTTGCTGATCTGGGAATGTGAGACATGAAGGAAACTATGCCAGAAAAACAGGAAAGACAAGAAGATGTGCTTGAAAAGTCAAAATTTTTAAGAAGTTTGGTAGAAGAAGTATTTGGTCCTGGTCATCTTCATGAGGGAGAATTTAAGTAAGCCATTGATGAATGTAATAAAACCTATTTTCTACGAAGGAAACAACATACAGAATTGCAAGCTGTCTTTACAATAAACTCAAAAGGAGAAAGTTTGCCTGCTAACAAAAGCAATTCACAACTTAGAAAGCACCTTTTTTTTTGTTGAATGGATTTGTGTACATTTCCGATACCCGGTGTCTCCTTTACCCTTTTAATACCACACTCTTTAAAGTATATTGAATAAACATCTCTGCCTGGAAATAAACCAAACCACAACTAGTGCATAAGTTCATTTATGACTTCAAATTTGACAAGCTACAACTAACACAATTCAGTGGAAATATGATGCTAAGTCTGATAATTATCTTGGAAGAAGTTTTTTTAATCTCAGTTTTGGAAGTATATGCTTCCACTGCAGAAACGTAAGGCTTTATCTAAATGATTCCTGATAATAGAATGTATTTGCTGCTAAAGAACTTAATACTTGTTCTTGTTTTCTTAAAATAAATTAAAATATATTTTTAATATATAAATGTCTATCACTAATTATCTAATCAACATAATGCTAACCACAAAATAATTAAGAGTAGAAAGCCATATGAGCTGAGCCACAGATACAGTAGAAAGCACATTTGATAACCATTATCTGTCTCCTGTCCCTGAAAAAGAGTTTTGAAGTGCAGCACAGACACACCTACTCAGTGCTGACAGGAGGAAATACCAGGGGCTCTGCTCTTACTGATACTGTCCCCATCAGCACAACCCATTCCTATCACCCCTGAGGATCAGCCTGTGCCAATGAGCAAGAACAAGTGGAATGGCACAGCACAGATTTTGGACTTTGTTCTGAAGCTGGCAGTCCTGATGGGAAAGCCTGTGGAACTGCACTGGGCTCTATCCTGAGCTGTGGGATACAGCCACAGGGCTGGGCACACCCCAGCATCACACGCTCACACAGTGGCACAGCACCAGCTGACTTTCTAATCTGAACCTCCCTTAGCATTTTAAGGTCATTTCCTCTCATCCTTTCCCTTGAGACACAGCAGAAGAAACCAACACCCACCTTCCTTTCATTTGGTTCAATTTAGTTTCACTTTGCTTTGCCACATTTAAGGCCTTTCTTTGTTAGCAGAACACCATAATGCTGCAGGGACATCTCCTCACATAAACTTGTTTTGTGTTTGGGAGAGTTAATTCTACCCTTGATCCTACATGTCTGAACTAAATCTGTGTGAAGAGCATATCTCAGCACTGCCTGATCCAGCTCAGAATAGTGGCTAACATCAAAAGCTGAAACAACTTTGCATGGATGTATCTTGAAAAGCATGAAAGATTATATCTGAATATGCTCGGGTTTCTCTAATTCAAAGGCCTCTCAGTATGCTCTAGTCATTCCTTTCTACTGCTGTTGCAGTGGGTAACTGTTTCTAGTGATAACAGGGGGGTTGCCTTTGGTTTTCTTGTATTTTGAGGTGGGGGGAGATTTAATGTCAGTGGATGCTGGAAAAAAGTCATCATCCACTTAGTAAAGTGATAATAATTCCTCATTCATGTATTTTCAAACATTAACATTTTGAGGTGGGGGGAGATTTAATGTCAGTGGATGCTGGAAAAAAGTCATAATTCGCTTACTAAAGTGATAATAATTCTCATTCATGTATTTTCAAACATTAATGGGGTGAACAAAAATAATGAGATTACATTGGAGGTGAAGTGAATTCTATAAAACTTTTTTGGAGTATTTTGATTTCCTGCCATTTCTCCTCAGCTGTGGACCAGAGGATTGACGTTTTCTGAAATAAAATGGTTGGATGCTGCCCCCTTGTGAGCGGGGCCCAGATCCAAAGCCTGAACCACGACTGCCTAAAACCTTTTTTTTTTCTGTAGAAAAAGCATGTGATTCTCTTGTCCCAAACACTGCTTTTGGCTCTGGTGGCACTTAACACATTTGACCCACTACCTATGGCAGCAGCAGGGCAAGTACTGAGCTTCAGCAAAGGCCAAGCCAGCACCTCTGAACGAGGAAAACTCATTCTCTTGATTTGTTTTGATCAATGCCAGCTTTGAGGCCTTTTACCTGAGGCTGTCAGAACACATCACAGGCATTATGAACTTTCACAGCTCCCACTCAGGATAGGTCAGCAGCATTGCCCTGGTTTAATCAACAGCAGGCAGGTGGCACAGGGAGAGGGAGTGCTGCTGGAGGCTGAGGCACTGCAGGCACTCTGAGAGGCTGTCCTGAGCAGGTATCTGTCCCACCACAGCCCAGCCGTGTGTGCAAGCTGTTGGTGCAGTTTGGGGTCACTGACCCACAGCACTTGGGCCCCACTCCAGCATTCCAGCAGAGGAACCCCTTTTTCCAGACCCGAGTCCTGCTCACAATCCTGAATGTATCACAGTCACAGGAACACGGAGCAACACCCCATGTGTAGCCTCTAACACCTCAGGGAAGGTGCTCTGTTCAAACCTCCTCAGAGGTTTCTGTCAGCCGGTGCCCTGCACCTGAGGTGGGGCTGTGGCAGCTCCTGTCACACACCTGTACAGAGGGATGGCTGGTTCCAATGGGAAAGGACAGGTCTTGGATATCAGTGCAGGTTTTGGGCAGTCACCATGCTCCTTGTCTTTCCAGAAAGGCCTTCCCTGAACCCTTTCTACAGCAGGATCTGGGGGGAAGCCAATCAAGCAAACTGTGGGATTTTCTTTTTTCCTTCCAAATGTCTAACGCAAATTTTAACTGATTTTAATTGAGGAGCCCAAAACTAGAATACTGTGTCCAATTCTGAGCTCTTCAGTATAAAAAGACAAGGAGCTACTGAAGAGGGTCCAGCAGAGGCCATGAAGATGATGAGGGGGCTGGAGCATCTCTT